GGTCCCACGGAGAGGAGGTGCCTGTCGGGGGTCCCACGGAGAGGAGGTGCCTGTCGGGGGTCCCACGGAGAGGAGGTGCCTGTCGGGGGTCCCACCGCCAGTTCCCGACTGCATGGAGGCAGGAATTTGTTTTCCTTAATCCCCAGTGTCCTTCCCCTTCCCGCCCCTTGATGCCCTCTGAAGGACACTGAGGTACAGTGTGCTGAGCTGCGCCTCCCCTGACACCCACACCCACTGTGCCCCGGGCCAGGGACCCGTCAGTGCCTCCAGCACCGAACACTAGACCCTTGGCTTTTACCAAGTCCCTTCCTAGAATTCTCAGAGCTGGGGCCAGGGCCTGGGCCCTGAGGGGCTGTTAGTTGACGGACCCCCACCTCTGCAGCCCCTTGCAGGGAGGGAAGAGGAGGACACTATAGGGGCCCAAAAGCCACCCGTACCCCCACACATCTGCTCTTCAGCCAGGCCTGGCCCCCAGGGCCTTCAGACCCCCACCCGAGGGGAGGGTCCTGCCCTGGTTGCTCCAGGCCTCAGGCAGGGCCTGGAGTGTGTGTGTATTGCGGGGAGGGTTGGGTAAGAGGTGGGAGGGGGTCACCCGGCTGGGAGGCCCAAGTCCTTCTAGCCAAAGCCAGGCTGGGAGCCTGTGGGAGGAGAATGGTGATCAGACGTGGAGACTGGGTCTACTGACAGACCCCAAGCAGCCCTGGCCATGCCAGGCTGACCAGCCCCTCCAACACAAACACTGGGCCCCTGGTTCCCTGGAAGGGGGCATTTTTCAGAGATGACATCAGCTCTTAAAGTTTTATGTTTCCTGCCTACCTCAGCCCAGAGAGCAGAGTACCCAGAGCCCACAAGCCTGGTGAGGCCGGCACCAGGACCAGCGCAAACAGCACACCACTGGCCTCACACACTCACAGCAGGCCCCCATAGGAAGGACAGCCACAACGGTGGCTGTCTAGTGGTGTGCTCACCATGAGGACGCAGCCCTGCCTGGGCACTACAGGAAAGATGCAAGAGGAGAGAAGATACCAAGCTCCCAGCTCCCTAAACACACCTCAGGGCCTTTGCTCATGCTGTTCCCCCCATCAGTTCCCATGCTTTCCCTGCTCCACGCCATCTAGCAAACCACCTCCACACCCTTCAAACCTCTTGTCCAATGTCCCCTCTGCTGTAAAGCGAGCCCCACAGCCCTGAGCCTCTGCAGTGTCCTGTCATCCTTCCATTGGAGCCAGGATCACCCTGTACCTCACTTTCCCTTCCCTCTTGCCACCCTCTCGAGTCAGACCCTGAGCCCCTGGAGGGCACAGGCCAAGTCCCATTTCACTCTGGCAGAAGAAATTAATCACCCACAAAGGGGTGAGACCCGCCCAGTCAAGATTGCCACAGTGAGGGCGCAGCAGAAGGCAGGGAGGCTGGAGGTCGAGTGAGGTGCAGGGAGCTGCAAGAGGGGGAGGGAGCAGGCGAGGTGGAGGTCCCTGTGGTGAAAGAGCCGCAGTGGGGACCTGGGCAGCCAGGGTGGGGAGCATGAGGGACCGAGCCTCCAGGGAGGCTGTGTTCCAGCAGGCAGGCCTGGTTGAATGAATGAGTGAGTGCATGAGGGGTCCAAAGAGAGGAGGGCGAAGCAGAAACACCAACTTTGGCTTCTAGAGTGAATTTTCTCTGGCAGCAGGGAGAGGTAGACACAGAGACAGGTGCCCACACGTCCTGCTCCCCGCCCTGCCCCCCGACCTGGAGCTTCACAGGCTCAGGTGTGCTGAAGCTGGCACTCAGGCCCAGAAGGGGCCACGGGGACAGGGATGAGACATGATGGGATGGCCCCAGTGGACCCTCAGCGGAAGGTGGACAATCTGGTCAAGTAGGAAGGCAAGGGGCCACTGGGGCCAGGGAGGTGGCTGACCAGATGCCCCAGGGCTCAGGGCCAAGCTGCCCGCTGCTGACTCAGGCCCGGCTGGCCAGCTCAGCATTCCTGCCCTGCTGAATGGGGCTATTGAAGGGGGTTAGGCCGCTGACCACGCCCCCAACCAGAGCCTTCGGATGCTGCGCTGTGGGCTCTGCTCTCAGAGGGCAGCACAGGCCCTGGGGATCAGTCTCAGAGCGCTCTGGTCACCAGCTGCCGCTCTGGGGGTGTCTGGGACCAAGGACAATCCTAGGTAAGCTGGCTAGGCTGGCATCAGAGAGCGGATCCCAGTGGGAGGGAATCTGTCCTGACCCTCAGGACTTGAGGCCCTGGGATGGTGACCCTGCTCCCAGCCCCCGGGGCTTGGGGAGGGGTCTGTCTCTCTGCACACTATACAGTGTATAGGTGGGGGTGCTGCAGGGGCTCTGTGGTTTGTCCTGCCTCCTCCATCAGACTGGAACTTCCCTGTGGTGGAGGAGGTTTCCCTATCAGATCCGGCATCTCACAGGGTGTGGGCTGGGTCTCCCCCATCAGACAGGGAGCCTTGCCCACCAGACCCAGAGCTCCCCAAGCCCCGTCTTCATCTCCTTAGTGTTTAACTCGGGAATCATGTCTGGGTCCCAGCCTCAGCCTTTGCTGGTGGGTCCCGGCAGAGCCATGGACCAGCTGCCCCTGCAGAGTCAACGCTTTTCTAGATAAAGTGCCCCAACCTCGTCCTGTCCTCCTCCCCTCCTGGCCTTTGGCCCCAGCCGGGATCTGGCCCCCCAGCCCTGGCTGCCTGGGCTGACACCTGTCAGGTGTGCTTTTTCAGGAATGGGGGAGGGCCGGGTGCCATGAAGCCAGTGCAGGTTGTCACCATTTGGTGGGTGCTACTGCTGGTGTCCAGGCTGGGGGCCACCAGGAAGGGATCCCCAGAAGAGGCCTCCTTCTACTATGGAACCTTCCCACTGGGTATGTCCATTCCTCTGTTGGTCTGTCCATCTGTCTTTTGGCTTGCTCACCTTGGCTGGCTTGCCAAGAAGTTTGGTGTCTTAGCTTCCTGATAGGTAGGAGGGGAAAAATAACTCCATATAATTGTTCTAAAATAAAGAAAGTTCCTAACAGATTTTTGTGTGTGTGTGTGAGGAAGATTGGCTCTGAGCTAACATCTGTGCCCATCTTCCTCTATTTTGTACATGGGTTGCCGCCACACATGGCTTGATGAGCAGTGCATGGGTCTGCGCCAAGGATTTGAACCCACGAACCCCAGGCCACCGAAGTGGAGTGTGCGAACTTAACCACTACGCCACCAGGCTGTCCCCTAACAGATTTATTTAAAGTTACTATACAGATAGTAAATGCTAATCAGAGCTAAAATTGTGCCAAAAAATGTTTTTAACACATTACATCTCCCCCGCTTCCCCCTGTCCTGTCACACATGCTCCCACTCCTAGGGAGATGGGGCAGGCTGCTGGGGACAGGGCCTGCCATGTGTGTGGCCCAGGAGGCACAGCCCAGAGTCCTGGCACTGGGAGGGCAGTGGGAGGGGCCCCAGAGCCCAGCTTGGGGTCTCTATTTGCAGGCTTCTCCTGGGGCGTGGGCAGTTCCGCCTTCCAGACAGAGGGCGCCTGGGACCAGGACGGGAAAGGGCCTAGCATCTGGGATGCCTTCACACACCGCGGGAAGGGGAAGGTGCTTGGGGATGAGACAGCAGATTTGGCCTGTAATGGCTACTATAGGGTCCAGGTGAGTGATGGGGGTGTGTGTGTGTGTGTGTGTGTGTGTGTGTGTGTGTGTGTGTTTGAGCATGCACCTAGCTGAGAGGTGGGCAGTGACATATTGGGGAAGCCCAGATGACAATGTCAACCCAGTGCTCTGCTAAATACCCCAACCCCAATGCAGCCAAAAGGGACAAGGCCAGTGGGGACTGGGGACTAGGGGTGTGTGCAGGATATGGGAAGGTGGATGTCGGGGGAAAGGAAAGCAGGGCCCCACCTCAGCCAGTGCCTTAGTCCAAGCGATGGGTAGCTGAAGGGCTGATCCCATGGCTCCAGGGACCCCTGGTCCCTGCATGTGAGTCAGCCCCCTGTGGAGGGCATGGGACCTGCTCATCCTCAGTCCCCCTGTTCAGCACCCACTTTCTTCTCTGGATTGACTTCTTGGGGGATTCATCACCCAAGTTTATTAGGAGCCCCCTGATGGACTTCTCCAAGCACCCCCATACCCTGCTTTTATTAGACCCTTTGCATATTCCCCAGAAGTGGGGTGGATGGAATCGCACCTGTTGCATATCGAATCTGCTGTATAGATGAGGCAGCAGCTCCTTCCTCACTCAGTGGGAGTATGGACAGGGGTGAGCCTTGGCCTGGGGACACCCAGTGTGACCACTGCCTGCCCAACCCCATGGCCCCAGGTGACCCTGCCTCCCCGCCCCATCTGCGCAGGAGGACGTTGCTCTGCTGAGGGAGCTGCACGTGAGCCACTACCGATTCTCGCTGTCTTGGCCCCGACTCCTACCCACGGGCGTCCGAGGTGAGCTGGACAGTCCCTCCCGAGCCCAGCGGGGACCCTTTTGGCCATGTTGGCTTTGCGGGGATAGCACAGAGTCCTGGGGAGGGAGACCATGAACGTGGTTTCTTCTGGCAGCAGCTCTCACGTTCCGGAGGTAGCTGGGCCCCCAGGGGTAGCTATGCCACCCCTCTGAGACCAAGTGTCGTGGCCTGAGGGGGCCTTCAGGCCTTTGAAAAGCCACCCAGGAACACTGCACTTCAGAAGGTCAAGGCCGAGGTCATTTCTTGTCAAGTCCCCTTTTATTTCACCCTCAGCTGACCAGGTAAACGAGAAGGGAATCAAATTCTACAGCGATCTCATCGATGCCCTTCTGAAGAGCAACATCACCCCCGTCGTGACCTTGCACCACTGGGACCTCCCGCAGGTGAGGGCTGGTGCAGGCTCGGAGGCCCGAGGGAGCTCAGCTCAGCAGGAGAGAGCCTGTGTTGGGGACCTGGGGTTGCCAAGGTGGTGACAAAGCTGAGGTCTGGACTGGAAGGTGGGAGGGAGTGAGGAAGAAATCCCTCTGACTCCTCCATGGCAGGGAGGTCCTACTGGTTTAAATGATGTTCGTAATAAGGGATAAATGTGGATTTTGATGTTTTCCAAAACATTTGGCCTAAAAACAACAAATCAAACTATGAAAAAAATAAACATCTTTTGAGTAAGACTTGATGACATGCCATAATTAACAAGTTGGTTTAGTCTTTTTTCCCAGTTTGAGCCAGCACCATATGTGCTCATAAATGAGCACCCCCCCCACACACACCCCAAGTAATTTCTGTAAAGTCTCAACATGCTTAAGAACACCGCTATGTAAGCAATTTTTTCATTCGCTCGACAAGGCCCCACAGAGATCTCCTCCAGGAGAGGAGCTGTGTACGCCACTCTCTGTGACACCAGGTGGTGGGAGGTCGGAGGATGAAGACATGGCTCAGGGAGGTGCTGGGGAGAAGATGGAGTCCAATCAGTGCCTTGAAGGGTTGGGGCATGAGGTGGGAGGCAGGGGTGCTCTGGCTCCAGGTGAGCAAGGAGGCAGGGAGGGGCTGGGCAAGTGATTCAGTTAGAGTTTGGGGAACAGGCAGGAGGGGGAAGGACAGAGGTTGGAGGAGTAGCTTGGAGGCCTCAACTGCCAAGCTAAGGTGCCAGGGGTTTGTTCTGTGGGAATGAGAGCCACCGGAGGCCTCTAAACTGGGACTGAGGCCTTGGAGCAGGCTTCAGGGAGATGAACTAGAGACCACCTTCCAGCTTCTTCCTTGGTTAATCACTTTCACTAACCTGCCCCTTTAGGAGAGCTTGGTAGGTAATCTCTACAGAATGATGAATATTGGGGCAATCCCGCCCTCGTGAGCAGATGCCTTCAGGTGGGAAAGCCCTGGGCTGAAGAAAGCATAACCCATCTGATGAGAGGTTTCTGGGGGATTTCTGACATCTGCACAGCCCTCAAAATCCTAATCAGAGCTTCCATGCCCAGCATCATACCTTATTTCTTCAGAACTTATATTCAAGATTCTTTTCCCCTTATCAGGTCTCTTTCCCTGGCAAATTTTCTTAAATATCCAATCTATCAAGTCCTCTTAAGCACGAGAGCCTCAGACTTTCTCTGCTCCCTCCCCCTTGTTTGTATAAGGCATGCCACATAGCTCGTCTCAACATTTACATTGTTTCGTGCTTCATCACTGCCACCGTCTTCAAGTCTTAATGCCCAAGACCCTGCATCTTTGCTCCCCTGTCCTCTAAACGTCCTCTGTAGTTATAATCACCTGTGTTTCTCCCACAAACTTAGCCAATCGGCTCCAAAAGTCTTTCCTGGAGACAGCTCCTTAAGGCGTCTGCTTCTCTCTCCACTCCTGTTCCAGCTACTCCAGGTCAAGTACGGCGGGTGGCAGAACGTGAGCATGGCCAACTACTTCAGCGATTATGCCAATCTGTGCTTTGAGGTCTTTGGGGACCGGGTGAAACACTGGGTCACTTTCAGTGATCCTCGGGTAAGCAGGGTTCCTCTCCAGGTGGGAAAACCTGCTTCCCAGACCAGAGCTCACCCTCACGGTCCTGTGGTCCCCACTTGCCATCCTTGTAGACAATGGCAGAAAAAGGCTATGAGACGGGCCACCACGCGCCAGGCCTGAAGCTCCACGGCACGGGCCTGTACAAGGCAGCACACCACATCATTAAGGTGAGGGGGGTCATTCGGGGATGAAGGCTGGGTTCCAGGGGGAGGGACGAGCCCCAGTGTCAGCTCAGCCTGCCCCAGGGGTCCGAGCCTGGCTCAGTCCTCTGCCGCTCCACCTCAAAACCGGCATTTTCCACAGCATCTTCGCACCGTTCATTTCCCTCCCATGAGGACTTATGAGGGAGTGTCCTGTCATCCAGTGCTCTGCTGGGCACTGCGGCCGAGACAATATAGTGGCTGCTCCCTAGAGCTTGCAGTAGCCAAGGGGGTGGAGCACATGCATGAGAAAACTTGTCACCTACAGGTCTAAACTGTCTTGTGTGGAACGGTGAGGAAGGGGGGATCACAGTGAACTAGGGGCTAAAACCTTCAATGAATGAGCAGAAGTACCTGGAGGTTGGTGAAGGACAGCAGTAAGAAGGGGTCAGGAGTGTTCATCCAATTGCGTGGACTTCAAAGGACCTGGCATTTCTGAAGGAGGAAGGAGAAATAGGAATCAGAATAAAGAGTAAGGCAGACCCTACCCTAAGGTGTGTGGGGTATGAGAAAATAATGGCCTCTGCTCAAAAGAGCTGCCATGGAGGTGGTCTTTAGGGGCAGCCAGGCTCAGTTGGGGCACAAAAGTGAAGAAGACAGTGAGAGGAGATGCTGAAGGTGACGCACCATGAGTTCCAAGGCTACCGGAAAGGCCTGAGAAGAAGGGGAGGGAATCAGGTCACACTACAGGCACATATGAGGATACGGGTGACGATGACCGGGGAACAGGGATGAGGCATGATGGGATGGCCCCAGTGGACCCTCAGCGGAAGGGGGACAATCTGGTCAAGTGGGAAGGCAAGGGGCCACTGGGTGACCTACAAGACCCTCAAGTTCATGTCGGGGAGAGAACTTGCTCATTCTCTCTACACTTGGCTTATGATTTCTTTGACTGTGAATATTAAAGGGCAGAGCTCTGAAGACCTCAGCGGGTCGCTGGGAGAGAACATGGAGAGAAGGCAGGTTGGCACGTTTTGGGTTCCATTTCTCAAGACTGTTCCAGACGCTTGATATTCTCCTAACTTCCTGAGCACCTACAGGAAAAGTACTGCCTAATTACCACAGAGGACAACCAGGAACAAAACAAGAAGCTTGAGCAGAAATCTTAGAAACAAGAAATAACACAAAGTGGTGGTTTATGTGTTTATGCCAGAATTGGACCAAGTTTCGTCTATAGTACAAAGAAAATAAGTGCTCTGGAGGTCAGAGGAAGGGGTGGGCTAATGGACTGGGCTGATCAAGGCTGGACTCACGAAAATGAGGGGACTTCCACATGGATCTCTAGAGTTAGGAGGGAGAGAAGGGCCACCTCAGGTTGAAAGGGAGGAGAGAAACGGGGAGGCAGGCGTCTCCTATGAGTCTCTTCCTCTCTCAGGCCCACGCCCAAGCCTGGCACTCTTACAACAGCACGTGGCGCGGCAAGCAGCAAGGTGAGCTGGGCGTCCCGCACGGGCTGCAGCAGATGGGGCGCAGCGGAGCCGTGTCACTCCTGCCTGTCTCCCCCTTTTCTTTCTCTTCTTGTAAGGTCTGGTGGGGATTTCATTAAACTGCGACTGGGGGGAACCTATGGACATTAGCAACCCCAAGCACGTAGAAGCTGCCGAGAGATACCTCCAGTTCTGCCTGGGCTGGTTTGCCAACCCCATTTATGCCGGTGACTACCCCCAAGTCATGAAGGACCGTATAGGTGAGCCGAGTCACGTTTTAAGACTCCAGATGCCACGGCAACAGTCTTGAGCTCAAAGGAAATGACTGAAAGGCAGGGGGATGGAAGAAGACTCAGGGATCACCCAGCCCCCAAGGAACTGAGAACTGGTTATTTGAACTGGTGGAGGTGGGAGGGGACACCCAAACAAATCCCTAGACCTGGAAATTGAGAATTTCAGAACCCAGGGAAAAAATTTAGCAATTCTCTGGGCTGTTCTCTCTTGTGTTCTGCTCTCCTATCTCCTCCCCACTCCCCTCCATTGTAACTGCAGCAAAGTAGGTGAGAGAAGTCAAAGACACAGTCACGGGCCGAGCCAGTTCTATTGTTGGTTCTTTCTGTCACTTGAGAAATACTTTACAAGCTCTGGTTTCCAGTGTCAGAGAAGAGAATAAAAACAAGCTCACAAGGCTGTATCAGTTTGGATGCTTTTGAGTGCCCCATAACAGAAAACTCCAACTAAAATGGCTTGAAAAGTAGGGAATTTATCATCTCACCTGAGTCCAGAAAAGGGTGAACCAGGACTAATTAATCCAGCCCTCAGAGATGACTTTGAGGAACCAGGCTCATTCCATCTTTCTGCTCTGGTACCTTCAGCAAGCCTATCACCCACTCCCTATGGCCACAAGATGGCTGCAGCAGCTCCAGGCATCACATGTTTACAGATCAACTCCCAGAGGTGGAAAAAACCAAATAGCTCTGTCATATCTGTTTTTAAGAACAAGGAATATCTTCCCAGGAAACAGTCTCCCTCTGCAGCTGATTTCCCTTCGTGTCTCAAGGGGCGAAACTGTCTCATGCCCCAGAGTGCCCTAGACCACTAGGACTAGGTCTTAGAGGCTGGAGAGGGGCCAGGACTCCCATAAAGGACATGGCCCCTTGAAAGAGGGTGAGGAAGAGGGCCAGGAAGAAGACAGGCACGGGACTATTGGGTAGGCAACCAGCAATGTCTGACCATAGAAATCTAAACATATCTAAACATCTGTGTATTCAGAGGCATCAGCCTGCACCTCCCCCCTCCCCGCCCCCAAAAAGAGACAAAGATGACATTGAAATAGGTTACAATCTCACACAACAAGGCTATTTTGGATGTTTGACTGAGAGAGAACTGTCAACATTTCAAAAATTACCCTTTCTAAAGCAGCATTGATCAGACTGATCTGGAAGAGCAGCAGCAAGGTCTAATCCCAGCTCCGCCACTAAGCAGTGCGTGGCTCCGGGCTTCGTCTCTTTGGTTGTCACTCTTACCATCTGAAAATGAATGATTCGGCAAAATAATCTCTAAAATCTTGTGGCAAAAGCCAGTTCCGTGACATGTCTTCCCATACACTCAAAATCCTAAGAATGATTTCCTCAAGATGCACAAGGAAGAAGCCCTCATGACTGGGATGGTGCCCGTGTTCCTCCAGGCACATGCCATCACTCACATGGCGCATTCCCTCTCTCGGGACCCTCAGGGGCCACTGCTGGAGCCACAAGAGGACTGCACGGGAAAGCCAAATTGAGGATTTGTCATAGAGCAGTTCTTGGGCTTAAGAGACCCCACCAACTCCAACTTCATAATAATTCAAGTAGAAATTGGGCTGAATTCTTCCTTTGTACAATGTGGAAAGAAGGATCCTCTGAGCAGTTAGTACTTTCTTTACTAGTGAAAACGTTCTGCCTGAAATCTTGTTCACAAATTCCTTCCAGGCATCTCATAAGCATTCTTTTATTCACAATAAATATATAAACAAAAGTAATTCTAGACCAGTGCTGTCCAAGAGAACTTTGGTGACGATGGAAATGTTCTATATCTGTGCTGTCCAATATGACAGCCTGTAGCCATTTGCACCTATTTAAATTTAAATTAAAATTTATAAAAATTAAATATTTAGTCATTCAGTGTGACTGAATTAAAGATGCAGTCACACTAGCCATATTCTAATAGCCACATGTGGTGGGTGGCTACTGTATTCGACAGTACAGTGACAGTACCCAGGGGTTTTTCTCAAGTTACTAAATGTAACTGAAAGTAATAACATAATATTTTAAAGGTATTTAATGATACAAACTTTTCACTAATTGAATCTAAACCAACAGCCTCTTTGGAAACGTTTTTATGGTTAGATTTTTAGATCAACTCATAAAAATGTTACTCTTATTTGTTTAAAACTTTTTTTGTATAGATTATGCAAGGACATGCATGTGTCAAATTTTTTAGAGTACACAGTGAAAAGTCAAGCTTCCCTCCCGCCCCCCTCCGCTGCTCCCATCCTCCCCGAGGAAGCACACTTCCGGAGACGGATTGTGCACGTGTGAGCAAAAACACTGCTGCTCGCTGTGTGTGTGTGTGTGTGTATTGACTATAGGCAACGCTCTGCACCTTTGTTTCCCTTAAACCTGTACCCCAGCACTCTTTCCATGCTGGTACGTGAAGTGCTGCCTCATTCATTCTGATGGCTGCACAGTATTGTACTGATGGATAGCCCGTCCTTTATTTAACCAGTCTCTCCTGATATTTAGGTTCTTTCTAATCTGTTGCTACTCAGTCTACAATGAAGATCCTTGTACATACATTCTTTTACATGTGTGAGTAAAACTTAGGATAAACAGACTTGGAATTGGTCAGTGAAAGGACATATACAATTTTGAAAGATAAGACAAAACTGCCCAATGCAGGGGTTGTACCAGCTTTACACTACAACAACAAAGCACGAACGTGACCCTATCCCCCTGTCCCCTCCCTCACCCTGCACCACCACTGGCCTTCCAGGTCCCTTCCCAGAGGCAACCAAAATTACCAGTTTTTGATATAAGGAATAATATAGGAATCCAACCCTACTTTTTTTTCCAGATGGCTACACAGCTGTCCACATTACCACTTACTGAATAATCTGTGAAAATATTACTTTTAAGCAATATAAACTTTTAGATAGTATTCAAATATCAAAATTCCAGTTTAAAAGGTTGTTATATTTTCCATACAATAGTTTGGATAATAGTTTTTATGTCAACATGCCAGCATCATCTTGGTACATAACAATGAAATGATTGTGAGAAAATAAAACTTTGTTACATTCTACTTTCTCTCTCAATAGGAAGAAAGAGTGCGGAGCAAGGCCTGGATATGTCGAGGTTACCGGCGTTCTCACTCCAGGAAAAGCGTTACATTAAAGGCACCTCTGATTTCTTGGGACTGGGTCATTTTACTACTCGGTACATCACGGAGAGGAACTACCCCTCCCGCCAGGGGCCCAGCTACCAGAACGATCGTGACCTAGTAGAACTGGTTGACCCAAACTGGCCGGATCTGGGGTCTAAATGGCTATATTCTGTGCCATGGGGATTCAGGAGGCTCCTCAACTTTGCTCAGGTGACTATCACATTAAGCTACTTAAAGGATATTATTAACCTGAATTCATGATCTTACAGCTTAAGCTCAGGTGCCCACATTTTAGAGTTAATAAAACAAAATAAACCCAGCTGCTCACACTTCAGAGGCTACTAGATACAGGCTTTACAGACTAATGCCTACTAGGAATAACCATGTCAACGTACGTAACTGCAGCTAAAATGCTTATCCGACATTTAGTTATTTTGCTGAGTTATTTCATTGTTATTTATTGAGTTATTTCTCACTTCAAATGGAATATGTGGGAAAGAACAAGACCTGAAGTACATTTTCTCTACAGTGATGCTGATTTATTGAGAAATACATTCTTTCCTATGAACTTGCCTCCTGCCTACTTTCCTCTCTAAATAAACGTGTGAACTGGAGCTACTAAATGCTACAGATGCTCAATTAGAATATGGCAGGCTGGAGTATGTGCTCCTAGAGGTGCCTCAGACTGAGACCCACCTGGAGGTCAGAATTTTTAAGATATTTGTTACTATAACTCACTTTCAGACTCAATATGGCGATCCTCCCATATATGTGACAGAAAATGGAGCGTCTCAAAAGTTACACTGTTCTCAATTATGTGATGAGTGGAGAATTCACTACCTTAAAGGATACATAAATGAAATGCTAAAAGGTGAGATACAAACCCAGACTGTCTTCACATATTTTTCTATTTAACTTCGACAAAATTTGGTTACACATGATTGACTACAACTTGTTTCTAAATCTCATAAATGAAAACATTTTAGATGATCTTCACAGTATTATTTTTCCAAGTAAATGAAATATATTAAAAATGGAACGAAATGTCTTTGCAGCTATAAAAGATGGTGTTAATATAAAAGGGTATACTTCCTGGTCTTTGTTGGATCAGTTTGAATGGGAGAAAGGATACTCAGATAGATATGGATTCTACTATGTCGAATTTAACAACAGAAATAAGCCGCGCTATCCAAAGGCTTCAGCTCAATATTACAAGAAGATTATCACTGCCAATGGGTTTCCCAATCCAAGAGAGGTAGGACTCATTATCGATGTTACTCGTTCTGGATGTTAGAAGAGCTTGGCAGCTGGGGTGTGCAGAGTTTGGCAACCTCTCGTCTTTCCTCCGTGAGAGGATGGGTATGTGGGAGCATGGCCCTTTGTCTCTTCCCTAACTCCTACCACTTCTCTGGTTATTTGCTTAGAATGGGGTAAACACGCCTTAAAATTCGATCCTAACTCGCAGAGCATCAAGGGCAGACCAGAGTTATGCAGGAGTCCTGTTTGCTTTAGGTTATCACAGTCAACAGAGACTTTTGGTTAAATGTGATTCTAAATGTTGTGTCTTAATGCAAACAAATACTGCCTAGTCTTCAACACATATAAAACCAGTTAAGGGAATCAAATGTATAATGACCATATCATTTTCACTTCTTTTCCCAACAAACAGCAGAGCCATACAAATGCACTAGTACCAAAATAAGATTAAAAATAATCAAACATGGGCCGGCCCTGTGGCTTGGTGGTTAAGTGCGCGCGCTGCGATGCTGGCGGCCCGGGTTCGGATCCCGGGTGCGCATCGAGGCACCACTTCTCTGTCCATCCTGAGGCCGAGTCCCACATACAGCAACTAGAAGGGTGTGCAGCTGTGACATACAACTATCTACTGGGGCTTTGGGGGCAAAAAAAAAAAAAAAAAATCAAACTTATTCCTTTAAAACATACCAAACATTTTCAATAACCTACAAATTTTTCTATCGCCTACCTATGTTGCTATCTATAGCAGGGAATAGAAACTATAATACAGAATGTCTTAATAAAGACCATTTTAAAAAATAAATCTCGCTTGTTTACCAACATCCTTGTAAGGGGAGCCCAGTGGGCCTATAAATGCAAGCAGTGACTGATGGCTCTTGGGTAGTAACTGGTTTTACATTACTAGAAAAGCGCTAGATTGGAAGCCTCTCAAGAATAAAGCCTCTGTCTTTTGACTCCCTCACAATGATGCACATCGGTGTTCAGTAAATATTAACTAATTTAAACCACAGGCAGACAAAAAAATTTTTTTTATCGCACGTTATTCCAAAAACGATTTCAAACAGCAAAATATTAGTCTAAGACAAGATTACTTATCAAGTGGGTTTTTATTAGGTGGAAAGTTGGTACCTTGAAGCCTTGGAAACTTGCTCTATCAACAGCCAGATGTTTGCTGCAGGTGAGTATATTTTGATTCTTCCCTTTGATAATTAAACCACATAATTATACACAGGACATTACCAAAATCTCGAAATGTGGATCTACCGGAAGTCAATCTTCCAAAACCACACAGTTAAAAATAATTTTTTTTTACTTTGAAGCAATGTCAAATTTCTATTTTATAAGCATTTTAAATAATATTTTAAAAATCTACCACGAAAGAGAAATATTTTATCCACTCTAGTTTTATTCTTTCCAAATCATAGTGTAAATTTGTAAATCTATTTTTGTTATAGTGGGCTTTGTGGAAGGAGGGGAAAATTCAACCATTTATACCAAATGGAATGAAGAAAAGTTAAAGAACACTCCAAACATTACATTCATTCATTTCAGCAAGTAATTATTAAGCACTCCCTCTTAGCTAGGGTGTTTTAAGCCCTGGGGATAACAGCACACTGGACAGAAGGCGGCATCATTTCTCACGCAATGGGATTCAATGGCTCAGCGATGTAGAATAACCAAGATGCAACTACACGTCAAGAAACGCCAACACATGTCATCTGTTTCTTTGAATTTTGTCTTTATCTCTCTATAAGGGGAATCAGAGAAATACACTTCCTGTTTAACAAACTCATCTTTAATGTGGTATCAGAGGTGGAAACTATTAGACCAACTCCTACCAATTCAGTTATTTTTTTAGGCCAATATACCTCTGTGCCCCCCCATTTCAATAACCAGGTAATATTAAGAACGTATATTCCATTAAACTAAACTAAACTTTTATTCCATCATGTGGAAACATGATGCAGAATTTACTGTTGAGCCTATGAATTCCATGAGAGCAGGGCCTGTGCTTTGTTTATCTTGGTAACCAGGGTGCCAGGCACAAAACCTAAAAGCAGGTATTACATAAATATCCACCACTATATTAATGGATATGAAATAAACTTTTATTTAACTCTTGAAGATTATTACTTAACCATGCAAGAATTATAATACAAAATTTCAATACAGAAATTCCTATACCTCTTAATAATAACATCTTTGAAAGGTTAGAAATGTTTCCCAAGGATTTTTCTTTCACAAATCCCCCCAATAAAAATTATAGAAGCAGTGGAGTACAGCTGCTAATATTCTCAGATTAATTTATGGTAAGCACAAGTATTAATATACATTTAGACTTTACTCCAGTACCCATGGAAGAACCAAATTTAGGCATGCTTTATCCTGTATTTTCTGAAATATTTTACAAAGCCCTCACATAATTTTTTATAAACATTTAATTCACCAGGTTCTCTTATAGCAAATGAGAATAATTAGAAAATTTGATGATGCCATTTTCCAAGTTTCTCCACTACAGTTAAAGCTTTCGGGATGAAGCTCCATTGGCTAAAATGACCACACTCTCATTTGTGGTGTCGCTCTCCCATTTCAGAGCCTGCGCTACGTCACATGCAGATGGTGACGGAGATCACGGTCCCTACGGTCTGCAGCCTCTGTGTCCTGCTCGCTGCCGTTCTCCTAATGCTCCTCCTGCGGAGCCAGAGCTGAGACACGGGTACCCACTTGGTAGCTTCATCCTTCACAGAGAATCTTCAGGACCTTCCTCCTTTTTCTGCTTCAAAGGTTTATATACATGTCTGTTTTCAGGATCTGTAATAATTACTTTTTTTCTTCTTTTTTTTTGGCTTGTGCTGGGATTTAAGAACTAGAAAATAAAAATAAGCACAAATGAAATAAAAATCCTTGTAATCTCTTTTTCTTTTTTTTTGGCTTGTGCTGGGATTTAAGAACTAGAAAATAAAAATAAGCATAAATGAAATAAAAATCACTGTAATCTCACCCCTCTCAAAGTCAATGTTAATATTTTGCTATATATTATGTAACTTTTCATTTTGCAAAAAGGAATCACAGTGCACAAACTGTTTTGTGACTTGATTTTTTTCATTTTTAAATCTGTCCAGAAATATTACTTTAATATAGAAATGACTGCCATCTTAGCACTGTCCTACACATGATGGGTTGTCAACCATCTATAGATAACAAACCTTTCAGGATGTAAATCCTATCAGACAACCAGGGAAAAGCATTAGGTAGGTACCAAGTAAGTGAGCACGCACACTTTTCTAAGATAAACTTTTTACACTGAGTTCAATTTCACTTCACTCAACGAAATAGCTCAAAGAAAAGTTATATATTTAATTTATGTATCTTTTCTTTAACTAGATGTTTTGTTTTATAAAATAAGGCTTCATTTTTTTAACTATGCTAAAATTAACTAATCTCCATTTGAGAGCAAAACATAGTTTAAGAAGAAATAATGTCAGGTATTTTACTCATTATCTGATTTTATGCAACATTGTTTCTGAAACACAAAAACAGTGATATAGAAAATGCTATTGCATTAATTCTTTTAGTTAATACTATTTCAAATTAAATACTTTTTAAAAGGTATTTACATCTGGGGCTTAGTCCTACAATTGGGCTGGGGTAAAACTGTTTTTAACAAAATTGCTTTCCATGTCAAATTGATATGCCTGTTTAGGGTTTTTCTCTTCCATCAGCGTTTTTGAAACCAAACTCTCTTTATACTATATGCCCAGATTTAAAGGGGCACTCAAAAAAAAAAAAAATTACCATTCAAAGAAATTTTTTTCATTTCTCCGGTTGTAGGATTAAACTGACCTAGTGACTATAGAACGTAAAAAGAAAATTAAAGACTTGCACTGCTCAATAACATCTGGTAAGCCTTTTATTGATTACTGATAAAAAAAGCGATATTTCTAAGGTATCAAGTCAGCATTTATGTTGTAGAAAGAACTAAAACGTAAGGTACTTAATACATTACAAAGTATTCAGAGAGAACAAAAAGCAAACACACTACCTTAGAGAGGACCCCATCAGCACACCTCACTTGAAATGCACCTGGCTGCAGGTCACCATGTTAGTAAAGCACATCCTTTCTTCCAGGCTACCGTTCAATGTTAATTCAGAAAAATCTGTAACCAGAAAGATAGTGAGGTCAGAATTGCTTACCATCCTACTGGCTTTTCTACCATGTATACTGCTGAATTTTACAATAATCTAGAGGTAGTCTGAATGATGTATGTCTTTTACTTTAAGAGAATTCGTTAGACAAATCAGCAAGGATAATTCTTTTAAATAGTAAACCCTCTTGATGCATCGAAAATATGATTAAACAAACTAAAATATAAAGCAGACTTTTTTAAATTACGTATTTTTAATTTGGGAACCTACTACTTTATTTTTTTGTGCCTCATCCACTATGGTTAAACATTGTCTTTTTTCCAATCTTAACACATATTTCAGACAACATTTTCACTGAAGATTTGTAGTCTGAGGGCTAGAGGCATATCCACATTTTTTTCTCCTGAGGACTACTGTATTTCAAAAATAAATGGTACAATTAACATTTAGATGAGATTACGTCCACTTCCTTGTGGGTCATCATTTCAGTTTCCATATTCTTACCATTATCAACATTCATTTGCTGAGCACCCACTGGGTGAGCAGCACTCTACTGGACACTGTTTTTCTCCCCCATTAACTCCAAATCATTATTCTCTCTTCCCATGGCAGCTAAAAGTCCACTTTTCTCTCTTAAGTCTTCTTGCTTGATGTCAAGCTTGATGTCTTGTTTTACTCAAGAGTATCCTACCATTAGACATCCTAAGCTAGTATTCCACCTAATCACTCAGTCCAATGAAACAGCAAGTCTAAACTTCTCAAATGCTTGTGATCTCTGGCAAAAAAATAAATCATTATTGGGCTTTAATATTTACAATTGGGGCTTTGTTTGAATAGCCCATGATTTTTACAAGTGAGGTCCTCCAACAGGTGGTCTTGTTTTGAACCAAAGGTCACTGAATAATTTCTAGACAAACACATCAAGAATATACGATGGGTAGAAGAGCTTATAAAGTTCAAGCAATATGAAGTTTGAGTGTTTCGAAGCACGCAAATATACGATTTCATAAGAATTCCTTATTTTCATAAAAGGAGTCATTGAACCAATGCACTAGCAAATTGTTTTAACTCTAACATTTAAAATCACTAACTCTTTCTGAAGCAACTTGCATCAAAAAGACTCTAGAAGATATGTTCGGTTATACTTCACTTATGTAGCATCATTGGAAAAAGGTGTTTAATCTTACATGAATTTCCTCATAACAGAGGTTTAATCTTTATGTAATAAAATTTTAAAATGGCATTTAAAAAATGTATCACATATATTCATGTCTAAAATTTTCTTTTTAATCGTAAAAGTAATACATCTTTTAAAAAAAACCTGAAACAGACGTAGATAAAATAAGAGTTTACTTTGGTGGTTGTCAACCTTAGTGGCACAATGGACTCACCTGGAGGACTTGAACAGTTACTGATGTCCAGGCTCTACCTCCAGAGATTCTGATCTACCCAGTCTGGGTATCAGGACTTTAAAAGCTCCCAGATGATTCTAACGTGCAGCCAAAGCTGAGAACAACCCCTGCTCGCATGGTTCCAGACCTCAGGGTTAAATGCGGCTGGATCCTGCCAGACCGTTTTCTATGCCCCAGTCTCTGTGTTTTTCCAGTCTTGTGTTAGTGTAAACAATACCACAATTAATAACCTTGTTCATAGGTCTTTTTGCACATGTCTGACTATATGTGCAGAATAAATTCCTATTAATGGATCTGCTGGGCCAAAAAATGTATTTTTTTAAAAAATTTTGGTGGATATCGCCCTCCATGGAAGCTGTACAACTTTACACTCCAATCAGCACTGTGTGAGGTCGATTGCCTGTTCCCCCATATCCCTGCCAGCACTGTGACACCAAATTCTTTTGTCTTTGCTAGTCTGACAAGTGAAAGATGGTATCTACATAATACAAAATCGCATTTCTCTTATTATAGGTGGAGTGGAACACCTTTTATTTTTAAGATGATATTTGAATTTCCTTTTTGATAAACTTAATACTACTTGCCCATTTTTCTACTGAGTTATTAATATTTTTTCTTACTGATTTGAAAGTTCTGTATATACTAGGGAATGTAGCCTTTTCTGAACACGAGCTGCAAACTTCTTTTCCTAGTTTATCATTTGTCTGTTGTTTTGCCTCTGGTATTTTTTGCCATGCAGAAATTTTTCTATTTTTTATATAGTTGATTTTCAATCTTTTATAGCTTTCAAGTTTTATATCATACTTAGAAAAGATAGCATGATTTTAAATGATGGTTCTCAGGAAATTCTTTCAGTTTCTTTAGGACTTTTACAGTTCAGCCATATGAATAGAGAAGTTCCCATTATGCCTGAATCAAAATATATCTTGAGGAGAAGAATAAACATTTTCTGGAAATAATTTTGCAAGGTATCCATCACTGAAATAGGAATATTTGCATTCCCAGCAGTGGTTGACTATAGGCCTTTGAAATCTTCTTGAATTCTGTCTTAAAACCATGAGATGTGATTTTGGATAATCCTTGCAGTATTTGAATGCAGCATTTAAGACCTATACAGATAAGAGACGACAGCACCATACCATCCATATGCATGAAGGTAACAGTTTTACAGGTGCTTACTGAAGGAGGAAGACTTGGGAGGGCAGCTAATTACACCAGAGGCTAAAAGACATTCTTTGATTGAGACAGACCATCTCTGATAGAATATTAGAAATCTTAACCCTTATTGCAGCCACAGAGAAGACATTAGGGCAGAAATATCATCACTGTTGTAAAGAGTGCACGAAAGAGTGAAGCGTGAGCTGGCATTTCCATCTTATAACCAATTTTCACACCTATGTCCCTATTGCTTTACTTCTTTTAATAAAAGTTCCTCTATCCAGGATAATGAGAAAAAGTACTCTTTCATGATTTTTTTCCCAGAATAAATTTGTTTTATAGCTAGAGTTCAGGAAAATTACTTAAAACTGGGCACAAGAGCTGTAATAATGAGTGCATTATTATAATAGAGTGCATACTATTATACTCTATAATAATAGAGTGCATCTCTACCAGTAAACTTTTTATTTTCTATTGGAATAATTTATCTGAATAGATTATAAATCATCTTTACCCAGTTTGTGAAAATTCAGATGGTCTACAGGTGGGCTGTCACTCAGTTGCCAAACTGTTTTCACCTTCTTTTGACCACTATTGATCTCCACTCTCCATTTCTGGGGCTTCTCACTAAGGAAAGAAAAAACATCAAAGGGGAAAAAAAACACAATTCCTTCCTTCCTTCTGTAGTCACTTAGTCAAGTCCTTACTGATAAGCACTGAGGAAGAAGAGATCAAGACGTCACAATTCCCATCCTCAAAAAGCAGTCAAAAGAGTGAGAGAAACACGAATATAAATGACAACAACTAAAAAAAATTGCTATAATAGAGGAATACCAAATGTGGTAGGGGACAATAAAAGAGAGGTAATTTGGGGGCTGGCCTGGTGGCGTAGTGGTTAAGTTTGCGCGCTCCACTTTGGCAGCCCGGGGTTCACAGGTTCGGATCCCGGGTACAGACCTACACACCACTTATCAAGCCATGCTGTGGAGCCGTCCCATATACAAAGTAGAGGAAGATGGGCACAGTTGTTAGCTCAAGGCTAATCTTCCTCAGCAAAAAGAAAAAGATTGGCAATGGATGTTAGCTCAGGGCCAGTCCTCC